CTACCTACACTGGCAAAGAAAAGAGCATCACAAAATTAGTAATATTCCAATTGAAAGTTTTGTTGCAAAATGTTGTAAAATGGGGAAAATAGAGCCTTGCAAAACTATATTATCCGCATTTTACAAGATTTTGCAACAAAACTTTGGAATATTACTAATTTTGTGATGCTCTTTCAAACTGTGATGAAATTTTTGTCTAGATCGAAATTTTAGTTATAAGGGGAAAGGTCCGTTGCACGATCAAAGATCTCACTGCTTTGCAACTTTTTTCTTTTCTGGTGATGGGTGTTCAGTGCTGGAAAAAAATGTTCATCACAAGCATTGCGAGACAAGAAGGATTAAGAAGGATGTTACTCTACAATGATTTAAAGTTGCAGTATTACCGCAATCATTGCGAAAACCGAGTACTCGGTATTCACTTCTTGGTTGAATAAGACTTAATGAACCACTAGAATAACTCTTAATATTCCAAATGTGGTGCGCCAAGTCATGTATAGAAAATATTTATTACGTTTCGGGCTTTTGGTTTACATATAGCTTTATTTAGGTTGCACACAGTAATTTAAAATGTTTTTCCGCTGACCGGCAGGTATCGAAAGTAGCCGATACTAGCAATTTAAGTACTCACTTCCGGTATCGAAAATTGAAATTTTGTGTTCATTTTGGTATCGAAATAGGTATCGGCCGATACTGATCTTAAAAGTATCGGTATCGGTATAAAATATCCTAATAAAATATCCTAACAAAAATGTAGCGATACTTGATGATTGCGATGCATGACGGGACGCAGCAATTGGTTAGCGCTGTCGCGGACTTCCTTTAAACTGTTAATGTATTTCAGGCAAAGCTAATAAATAAATAAACAACTAATTCTTCTATCGTACTAAGGAGTTTCGCGATAATAAAGGTTATTTCCTTAGCTTTGTGAAAGAGACTATATTAGAGAGACGGGACTGGCGTCTATTACAAAATTCGGGGTTGAGCGCTATGAGATACGGGCGTTTATTAAATAGTAAGCGATTGGTTTTATGGTTCTTCCAGAGAATACAGTACTTTGAACAAGACAACAGTTATATTGATAATAATTTTATTAGAATTCACGGAAATCCAACCATCCTTTATAAAGGCCTGATTCCACGGGCGCTTTTTCTCGGCGAAATGCGAAATATTTCGCTTGTTTCTTTTGAATTGTGAGCAATCAAGTAGAAATAATTTATTCGAGTGGTCGCAATTCAAAAGACACAGGCGAAATATTTCGCATTTCGCCGAGAAAAAGCTCCCGTGGAATCAGGCCTTAAGCCGGTCTTACGGGCGGCTCTCGAAACAGTGCAGCTGGTGTACATGTAGGCTTGTGGTGGTTTGGAACGTTGAACGATATGTTGATGCCCAGAGTGTCTTAATGTGATGATGTCTCACACACGATTGTACAGGCCGTATATTAATGTCTCACGTAAGTTACGGTTCTAGATTTCGTATTATTCCTGGTCTCACACTCGAGATTTTCATAAATATGTAGGCCCTTGTTTCGAATGTGCAAACTTAGAATTCAAATGTGTTGATTGTTTTATTAAAGATTTTCGTTTCGCAGCATCCATTTGTCTGACACCCAAGTCAGTTTCACGATCGAACGGTCTCCTTTCAGTAACTCCATCTGTTTGCTGAAAATTTCAAGAAAGAAGGTCAGTTAATGTTACTGATCACGCAACCACTTCTGGCTACCAAAAACTGAGACATCAAGTAAGACATTCTTTGTACAGCAAGTTTATACATGCCCATAGCATTATGAACTTAAGTTAATGAAACAAGCGTTCGGACACAGTATAGGGAGACAACCAGTAGGGCCACTTAGGGGAGAGAAAAGTGGCTAAGCTAGGTTCCAGGTGTCTTACGCGACCAAAATCATTATTCTGTAGTACAATGATCATACACGTGCAAAGCGCAAGGCTGAATTAACAACAAACCATTGTCGAATCTCTTCCCATGCGTGCGGGAAAATAGACCAATCAGTTTTCAACTCTTCGTCTGTATAGTTTCCTGCTTGGATCAGTAAGCCTCATTGTGTCACTTGCAAGCAAAGGTGTATGACCTCTGCAGCAAAGTACTTTTGAAATTACCACCCATCCCATTTTGCAGTCCATGCGAATCTTGATGACGGATTGCATATCTGAACAATATTTACAGATTTTTATTTATTTTGTGATACAAGTTATGACTTGTATCACAAAATAAATAAAATGTAAATATTGTTCAGATATGCAATCCGTCATCAAGATTCGCATGGACTGCAATTCATGTAGTGTTACAGATTACGGAGTAGTTACTGGTTAATATGTTATGCAGGCACGTCTAGATTTTGTAATATACAGTATTGGAATTGACTTTGCAAGTCTGGTTGTAAAAATAAAAATATTTGGTTGTTGGGGATGGAGTGCTCCCAAAGATCACCATCAACCCCATAAACTCATACAAATCAATGTATTATACAGTGTATTCTACCTACACTGGCAAAGACTACCTACACTGGCAAAGACTACCTACACTGGCAAAGACTACCTACACTGGCAAAGACTACCTACACTGGCAAAGACTACCTACACTGGCAAAGACTACCTACACTGGCAAACACTACCTACACTGGCAAAGACTACCTACACTGGCAAAGACTACCTACACTGGCAAAGACTACCTACACTGGCAAAGACAGTTCATGATTATATTACAGCCCTTTCCACACCTCGGCAGGTATCAGTGTGCAAAAAACAACGGGATAAAAGTAAACCAATCAGATGGATTTAGTCAAAACAAAGTGTATAGATTACAACTGCATGAAAACAAGAATTGAATAAGTTAAACCCTAGCTAGTCCGTTGCTCCCTACCAAGTCGTCACTTAAAATGGCATGCTGTTTCTTGTCGTGTTAGTCAGTCAATGTAAAACCTGTGACTTTATAGTATACAACCATCTACAACCGTTTCGGCACCTAAATGTAAGTACAATATCAATACTGTTTGACGTGTACCTCCTCCCATCTCAAATACGTGCTGTTTGTCATGTAGTAGATATGCTTTATATTGGAAGTTGAGAGACATTTTAAGGATTGTCCATGACTTTTTAAGGGATTGTCCGTGGTTAACTTCGGAAATAAAGCAGAAGATTAGAGAAAGAGATTATTATTCAAGGAAAGCCAGAAAATCAAGCGCTGAGAACCCTTGGTCAACTTATCGACGGTTACGTAACTCGGTGACTACCGCAATAAGAAATAGTAAAGTCAATTATAATAGAACTATTCTCCGTGAAAACATGAATAAACCAAAAAACTTTTGGAAAACAATTAACAGATGCTACCCTTCCAAATCCAAACGACCAAATCCGACTAAATTATTTAACATTGACGGGGGAAAGGTTTCTGACGTTAACAGTATAGTGAATGGATTTTGTCCATACTTTAGTAAGTTTGCCTCTTGCAGTGACTTATGGCGTGCCACAAGGATCGATCCTAGGGCCTCTGATGTTTGTGGTTTTCATAAACGATTTAGACATTGCGCTCAAAAAAACCAAGCTAATTTTCTACGCTGATGACACTGTTGTATATTACTCTGGAAAAACATCGGAAGAAATTATCAAAATTCTGAATGATGATTTACAGGAGCTGGGTAAATGGTTCAAGAAAAATAATCTGGTTATTAATATGAAGAAGGGAAAAACAGAATTCGTTCTCTATGGAACTGCAAAACGTATTGCGATACAACAACCAAGCGGTGAGCAAATCAATGTGACTATTTGTGGTGAAAACGTTAATCAATCTGCATCATATGATTATCTGGGTGTGACTTTGGACAGTAAATTAACTTTACTTTCACTGAATACTTGCAGAAACTTTATAAGAAGGGCTCTACGAGACTAAAACTGCTATCCACTGTACGTGTATGAGAGTATCTCGCCGTATGTTGCTGAAACAATTTATCGCTCTATGATTGAGCCGGTATTGATGTACTGCAGTGAAGTATTTTTAGGTGATGAGCGGCAAAGTTGTCATAAACTGCAGAATCTTCAGGAGCGTGCGAACAAGATCATTTTTGGAAAAAAGGCCCGAAATACGTGGATCCCTCTTAAAAATCGAAGAGAAATGGATGTAGCTATCACAACTTTCAAATGTATCCATGATCTTTCACCGTTGGCGTCCTGTTTAGGATTTTCTAAGCTGAATCAAGGGAAGAATACCCGAGGAAATGGAATGAATCTTGTCCTACCGAAGGTCAGAACAGAATCTGGGAAAAAAACATTTGCATTTCAAGGAACTAAGTTGTACAATAAGTTAACAAGGGAACTTAAAGAAGAACGATCATTGCTCCTTTTTAAATCTAAACTTAAATTGTTCTATTCTTAGTGAAATAGCTCTATATGAACTAGAATGAAACTGAACCGACCTGTTCATTTTAAAGTTTTTAAAGTTTCTACCTTATTATGAGCTTAACTAATTTGTATATAATATATTTTATTGTAAATTTTGAATGTAGTGTGCAGGTCCCCTATTTATAAGGTCAACCTGTTAAAATAAAGATCATTATTATCATTAAGGTTTCGTAAACATCGTCATGCTGTCATTGACAACGACGCTAACCAACCCGTTGCCAGACATTTTAATTTTAATAGTGGCAAGCACATGCAGTGTTTCGGATACGATACTGTCCCATTTCTGGCACCAACGTTAACCACAAAAGACATGAAATCTTGTCACTGACCTCAAACTTGGCACTGACCACGGTTTTCCTACGTTTAGCTTTATTTGTCTATGCTTGACATATGCAGCCATTGATAGTACTTTTAATTCTCACCTTACTTATCAGCTAGTTTCCTAATCCATATTAAAAAGGTCTGCAATGTGATTTACATTTTTGCACTTTATTTCGAATATATAATCTATATGATTGGTTTATTTTTGTTACGTGATCGCTTATAAATCCACTAGGATAAAAGCACATGTGTTTTTGCTGACCCACGCCATGGTGTCATTATGGAGTCACACGAATGATGGATCTTACACCACATCATAATGTGTCTGTATACTTACGTTATGTTCGCTGACATATTTCTCCATATCAACTTCTTTCTTTGACTTTTCACGTCGTTTAGGTGATTTGGACTGCGATGTCTAGTTTATCAAATATGAAATTTTAATGAGTACAGAAACAGTGCATACGGGAGAAACTTTTTACCATCTTGAACGAACTCGGAAAGAAATCTTATTAAAAACTGCAGAATAGCTTCTTTCATAGATCCCCCCCCCCCTCCCACCCCCTCTTTCATTAAAAACTACTCCATTTTGTTTAATAAAGAAATGGAACCGTGCAGCATAACGTCATAATCAGTCATATATGAATGAGGCATCCATGAATGGTCTATTTATTCGCTTCGCTTGTATTTAACAAGATCATTTGGATTTTGGAACAAACAGCAAATGTATATTACTCGCACAGCATTAATCACGTTATACCAATACAAAAGACACTCCAAATATAAGGATTTTGTGCATCAACACTCGATATAACTAATTGTAGAAGGGTGTTGTAGATGCAAAATCCTGATATTTACAAATGTATACACCAGCATCACCTAAGCATATGTACTGTAGTACATGAACTTGTGGTTATAGAGCTCAACAACTGGCCTCTGTTGCTCAGTTGGTTCGAGCTCAACAACTGGCCTCTGTTGCTCAGTTGGTTCGAGCTCAACAACTGGCCTCTGTTGCTCAGTTGGTTCGAGCACTGCATCGGAATCGCAGGACCGCAGGTTCGATTCCTGTCAAAGAGCTTATAGTTGCATTTTTCGCAACTGTTTGAAGTTTCTGGTTTATATATATGTCTAATAAATGTACAAAATTTACACTCGAATTTTCCATCAACAAATTCCAAGTATAAACATCTTGTGCATGTGCAGTGCGTGCAAGATTTGATTTGACAAGAAGACACGATATCAAACCTACGATAATGACAATGTTAGCTGGTATTTATATATACGATCCAGGAACGATGACATTATCAATCAACAAGATAAATTTTGTTAGGGATGGCAGCAAAAGTACTATGGAAACAGAATGAGATCTTTGATCATGCAGTGTTTAGTGAAGGATTATTAAATTTTATGCGTAAGGCCTCAATTGCCGGCTGGAAATGGATTGATCTTGTAGACTCAGAATGTCTTACACCAGCCCACACACACACACACTCCAAGGGGTGTGCGGTCGAAAGGCGGTCTTCTATCGCAGACCATTGATCTTGTTAATCCTTATAATTTCGTTTGATAACAAATACATACAAATATCTTATTATATGCAAATAACGTCAGTCACTGTAATGTTTATAAAAGTAAATTAAAGTAAACATTACATTCTTACATTCTTTTTGTGTTCTCTTTGCGAAGGCGTGTCTGTCCAAACTGATCTGTCACCAAGATTTACTTCTTTATTTCGAAACGTTCTCGGACCAAGACCTGTCAAAAACATATATGGTGCACCATTCAAATGCATGTCGTGAACACTGGTCGCGAATGGAAAAATTGATCTTCAATACAAGCACATCTGCTATTTTATACACATATAACCATGCATGATCGTTTTTTTGTTCAAATGACGAGACAGCTGTAGCTGCACTATATAGTGTATGAAAAAAACACAGATACCAAAGTTTTTTCCTAATTCAGGAGGTAGTTCTGTCATCCATTCTTCTCGTTCAATCTTCTTGCTTCTTTTTTCCTAAAGGTATTATTGTTAAACATATCATTAATTTTACAGTAATGCGTATTCGTGCAACATACCTGGAAATAGTGGTGGATCCTGGGAACGACGTTCCTAGAAAGGTTTTGATTGCTAGAAAGGATTTTCAATTTTCTTTGGCAGAACGTTTTGAAATTTCTTTAAAAAATTATCCATAAAAATCAACAAAAAGGTAAAAATTTCCAAGTTTAAAGAAATTTTCTTAGAACTGAAAACGCTGATATAATTGATATCACCTGATGCACAAATCGGTCAAGAAAGTTATTTTCACTTGAGTATACATAAAAAATATTCCTTGAAATATAAATTTCTTTATCACACAACTTGCAAATGTCAAATTAGGTGGTAGTAAACGCTTATAAGTTATAACTACAACTGTAATAAGCTATCACATGATGCATTTCTTACAATTTAACTTGATAAGCTAAGACCTAAGTTGCTATCATTAGTAATATAGAATTAATTAATTAATATTATCCAATATCCAATTTATTGATTAATTGAATACATTTTGTTAACAGTGAAGGCTGTGAAGCACAGTTAATGCCTAACAGCTGTAAGGGTCAAAATGTAAGTGCTGTTAAACCAACTAAATTTTATGACAGTGTTTTCAAAGAAAATGCCCCCCGGCCTACATTTGATAACAGTGTTTTCAAAGAAAATATTTCCCCCCGGCCTAGGATCCAAGAAAGGCTATAATTATTTCCAGGTCTGTCGTGCAAGCTTATTTTCAAAGGACAAAATGCCATTAGAACATTTCCAACGATGGGCAATGCAAAGCGGTCTATATATTTCGGTTATATACTCCATCGGGCATCAACGTACTGTATATTCTGCTTCTTTTTGTAGATTGATTGCAATGATTTGCTGGAATTTGATAATAGACTATACATTTTATTTAATTTTTAAGGTTCATATGCATGCGAGGAACATATTTAGTTAGTTAGATATAGTTAAAAATATACACATCGCAGCCAGAGAGCTGATTTATAACATGTAAGATTACAAATCGAAATTAGAAATGTACAATTAAGCATTAACTAATAAGAAAAACGAATAACATGTTTAAAATACTACGGACTATTAACAATTTAAATTAAATAGTTTGTTATAACCGACGAAGGAATAAAAGTATTAAAAAATCTGTTAAATGGCTCGCTCGAATATTTATAGCCTATTCTGGAATGTATTCAACTAGCCACAACGCAAATTAAGCTATCTGTAATCAGTAATGTATAGTTTAAATATACAGAGATGAGGAACGTTGCAGTCAGAACATTTTAAAATACCATGTTAGTATTGATACTATATATACCATGTTAGTATATAATACCATGTACAGTTTATCTTTTCCAACTCTAGCATGACAATTCTATCCCTGTTTTATGAATTATGTATCGCCACATTGCCTTGTAATACAGTATAACGATTCATTTTCCTACGCTTCGTATTTTGTCATCTTTTCTAACTCAACGACGATATTCTATCTCTGTTTTATCATCAATGAAAAATTATTTTCGGAAACGAGAATATCGATCCAGACCGACCCTAACCTTTCGGCAGACTTCAATGAAACGATGAGAACACGCAGCAGCTGCACACCGACCATTAACGACATACACCTACCCACTACAAACCAATCGGTCCGAGCACACCGTATTTCTCCCCTTTGTAGGATCCATGAAAATATAAGGAGCCCTAGGCAACAAACAATTGCTAACAGAAACAACTTAACCAGTATTTCCCTAATTAACCAAACAAGTCCAAACTTGAGCGCCCAAAGTAGTTTACTGACTTTCCTCCTCTCAAACACAAGATCGCTTTTACCAAAAATGGACGAATTGAAAATTATACTTGACCAATATGATGTGAGTTTGACTTCATAAACGAAACATGGTTAAATGAGAAAATCGACGACGCAGCAGTTTGTATAATTGACGGGTATTCAATAGCAAGACGTGACCGAATTGATAAGCTGGGCGGTGGAGTTCAAAATTCTAACAGAATTTAATGACAATTTTGAAACTTTATGGATCTATCTAAGACCTCATTAACTTTATCGAGGCTTCTCTTGTTTGATCGTCTGTGTGGCCTATAACCTCCATCCAGGCAGTTGTACTTAATTATAGAGGAATATCTCTTTTGGCAACCTCGTCCCCAGGGCCTTTGAGCTGACTTCAGCTCAAAGGCCCTGGGGACGAGGTTGCTCTTTTGGATGTCTTGTCTAAACGGTGATGGAAAAGCAGGTCTATGATAAGCTGTTTAATAGTGTTAAGTTACATATCAATAAATGGCAATATGGGTTTCTTCCAGGTAGATCCACTGTTTCTCAACTCATTCAAGTAGTTCATGAATATGCCAAGGCACTTGAAAAAAAGCAGCAAGTAGATGTTATCTACTTAGATTTTGCTAAAACATTCGATAAAGTGCTTCATAATAAACTTCTGTATAAACTTGAATCTTTTGGTATAAGGGGTAATCTACTAAATTGGTTTCGATCGTATTTGCTGGGTCGACGGCATAGAGTTGTGATTAATGGTAAGGTTTCTGATTATTTGCCAGTCACATCGGGAGTGCCACAGGGGTCCGTTTTAGGACCCCTGTTGTTTCTCATATATATCAACGATATGCCAAATTGCATATCTAGAGAAACTAGCCTTCCATTGTTTGCAGATGACTCTAAGTGTTTTAGAGTAATTTGGGGGCAGGACGATGGTAATGCATTGCAGAATGATCTGGATAGACGTTTAGATTGGACTAAGACCTGGGGTATGGAATTTAACTTCTCTAAGTGTAAAGTTATGAGAATAACACGGAAGAAAGTACCATTTGAAAGGGATTATTATCTTGGTAATTTTAAATTAAATAGAAAGATTTGGGAATTCTTATATCTCATAATCTTAACTGGAATGAACATATAGATTTTATTGCCTCGAAGTCTCATAGGATGCTTAACCTTTTGTATCGTACCTGTAAGGAGATACGTGATACTCAGGTTAAGAAAAGTTTATATTTATCATGGGTTAGGTCTCGGCTTGAATATGCTTGCCCAGTTTGGTCTCCTTACACTAAGAGAAATATAAGAGCTTTAGAACAAGTGCAAAGGAAAGCCACAAGATTTATTGTTGGTAAAAAGCTAAATTATAATGAAAGGTTGAAGAAAATTGAACTTTTGCCCTTGGTGTATAGGAGGGAGATTCTAGACCTCATTTTTTCTATAAATGTTTTAAGGGCATATGCGAACTAGATATCTCGCAGTATGTATCTTTTCGTATTTATACAAGAAATCTTAGAGGTATAGACAATCTAACGTTAAGTGTTCCTTTCAGTAGGACTGCAGCTTTTAAAAATAGTTATTTTATTAGAATATGTAGATTGTGGAATGGGCTACCCTTGCATGTACGTGAGTCAGATACCGAATTGGGTTCTAAAAGATTATGCGCATGCCTGTTGGCTCCTCCTGTTACTTCAATTTTCAACGCCTCCCTTCAACAGGCGTCTGTTCCCACAGTATGGAAAAAAGCCAACGTCATCCCTGTCCTTAAAAATAAGGCGCCGAGTGACATTATTAGAGACTTGCGTCCCATCTCGCTTGTGAACGTTTTGTCGCAGACTGGCTGATGGAGTTGATTAGTGGGAAGATTGATAAACGTCAATTTGGATCTCCAAAAAACTCCTCAACATCACATGCATTATTGAGCCTTGTCCATCACCTATTAAACGAAACTGATGTGTCGAAAAATGCTGCGAGAATTTTTTTATTGGACTTCTCCAAAACTTTTGATCATATTGATCATAACATCCTCCTCAGTAAATTATCCGATATGGAAATTCCATCAATCATAACAAACTGGATAAGAAGTTTTTTTTACTCGACGAAGCCAACGGGTCAGAATGCTCCATTGTGTGTCAGAATGGCAAATCATCAACGGTGGAGTCCCTACAGGGAACTGTTTTAGGCCCAATCCTCTTCCTAATCATGATAAATGATCTTCTCGCCGATTGGAAGGATCGATGGAAATACGTTGACGATACTACTACTACTGAAACCATTGGCCCAGATTGTAATAGCAATCTTCAAGATCTGGTTAATTAAATCGATAACTGGACTACGAGTAATAATATGAAACTAAACATCGGAAAATGCAAAGAGCTGGTTATTGACTTTGCAAAAAAGAAGCATTGCTTTCCTCCTTTAACAGTGGATGAAGTTAATATTGAACGAGTGAAATCTGCCCGTATCCTTGGCCTCACAGTTCAAGACAACATGAAGTGGAAAAAACATATACACAACATAGTTAAAAAGCTAGCAAAAGGCTAGATGCTAAGGCTGCTGAAAAGGTCCAACGCGTGTATAGACACATTGATTACTGTATACACTACTATGATTAGACCTGTTTTGGAGTACGCGTGCTAGGTCTGGCATCATAATATCCAACAATATTTATGTGAAGATATTGAAAAAATTCAAAAACGTGCATTGAGAATCATCCTTCGATCACAAAAGTATGACGAAGCACTGATCAAGACCAACATCACGTCGCCGAGGGATCGCCGAGAAAAATTATGCGAACATTTCTTTGAGAAGAAAATTGACAATGAAAAACTCAAAGATCTTTTACCACAAACAATTTTATATGTAAATAACATATAATTATGTTTGAAGAACTGACAGAACGTTTTAAGAATTCGTTTTTGCCTCAAAGTATTTTAAAGATAAACAGTAAATAAGTAAGTTTTTAGAAATGCAAATACTCTTAAATATGTAATAATTATGTGGTTTTAACTTCTCTTAAATTTATGTAATACTGGTGTAATTTAACACAAAGTCAGTAATTATTAAATCAAATCAAATCATCAGATATTTAATGTCTCATATGACAATGTTTCCTGTTTGTATCTTAATTGTTATTAAAAACCTCGTCTTTTCTATAGGGCGAGACCTTACTACAAGTATCTCTGTTTTTTTATCGTCTTATATTATACCTATTTTCAATTTGTTCATTGTTATTAGAACGTTCATCATTTGTAACTCTAGGGCGAGACCCTATCTGTTTTTTTTTCGTCTTATACTGGATTATACCTTTAAAGAACAATATAATGCTAATATGCAGTAATAAATTTACGTGGTGTTTCCACAAACAAAAGTATTATATATGTTTTATCTATCGCCATGCAAACCTACAAAGAACTTATACCTTTAAAGTTTGTGAATTCATAGCAACCAGGTATAATATTAGTCATGTTTCATTCGTTTTTTTATAAATGAATGGAAAGTCCAGTTGAATTGCATTCACGACTCAATGTTTCAACACTCAAGCCCAGTGTCTTCATCAGGGGTGATCTGAAGTCGCAACGTGGCTTCTTATATAAACACGGGATGACGTCACTGCCAACAAGGTGGGCATATACTTGTGGTAAATGAGCACCGTCATCACTATTCAAAACATGGTTACTCATATTTATATGTCATGCTTCTAGGTAACGTCTTTGGCCATTGTTAGTGGTAATGACTCTAGAGTTTTCCCACGCGTGTTTTGTGTCACACACATGTTCTGCTAAAGCTGATTTTCCCTTCATTCATGAAACAGTCTTTTGACGTTTCTCACCGCATGGTATAAAATATACAACATGAGTTTTCTGATTTGTTCTTTTTTTGTTCTTCTGTCAGCCAGCTTATACATGGCGTATAAAAAAAAAGGTAATCGAACTTCGGCGCGTTATTATACGTGAATCACTTGGCGTATGAACAATTGGTTTTCATATTCGGAAAGACCAGGCTTTTAGCTACTGAATGACATGCTTTTGATACCAAGTGGAGAAAAAATAAGCATGTACGAGGCCGATCAAAAACGTTAGTCAAAATCGCATATTTTCACCTCTGTGTCTAATTAAAACAATGCATAACAAAAGAAAAAGCAATTAATCACGAACGTGTCGTAGCTTAGCTAAGATTAACATGCGATCACTCAATGAACGAATAGCAAGAACATCTAATGTAATAGTACACTAAGCACGACAGATCTTAGTAAGCAAGACAGTTCTTTGGAGGGTATAGCTCTGTTGGAGAGGATGCATGCCACGTTTAGCAAGGCTGTAACCACGAACTCAAGTCAATTAGGCTGTCGAGTAGGTACTCAAACTACCGACCAACGACTATCCCGGCTTGGCAAATCCCAAAGATGCCGAGAAATCACCTCTCCAAAGACAGAACTATTGTCCCACAAAGTGGAATCCGGAATACAAAAACACACACATAATAACACACACTCAAAGACTTACCCAATGGACAGAATATACAAGACCAAACAAAAAATAATACTCCCTGACTAGGCTAAAGAACAATACCAGAAAAGCTGAAAAGAATGAAAAGCTCAGCGTACGCGACTACAAAAAAAAAACAGGGTAGTGTTAAAACCAATGTGAGCAACAATAGGAATAATCATCCAGAATAGCTGGAGGTATGCCCGCGAGCGGGCGCGGCAGGTAAACACAACGGAAAAATATCAAACAAGACAACAATTGGCGTAAACGACAGTGCACTCCCTCACGTGGCGTAACAACAACAACAACAACAACAACAACAACAAATTATAACACTACGATAACAAATAAGGCGACGGCACACAATAATTACCGAGGGATGCGTCTGGATTGTCGGCCAAAAAAACAATACATGACAATACACCAAATAACGATACAGGCACCTCTGGTCAGCAGCGACCAGGAAACGCTGAGACTACCCACACCTGAGGTTTGCAAAAACTGAAATACCCAGGGATGCGTCTGGAATGTCGGCCAAAAATTCAAAACAATACACCAAATAACGATACAGGCACCTCTGGTCAGCAGCGACCAGGAAACGCTGATACTACCCACACCTTAGGGTTGCACTCCGCAGGTTTGCAAAAACTGAAAGCAGAGCAAGTAAGCAGCCCATAAAAAGGCAACATAAGCGGGCAACACGCCCAGCAATTCGGTTAGCAACAGCAGCCCCCGCCCCCCCCCCCCAAGAAAAAAAACAAACAAGTGTGGACAAAGGGGATTGGGTGGGTGGGCACGTTGCGAACGTGAAAGTCAGCAAGCAATGAGCTACACTTGTGAGCTCCCCGGCTTAAATAAACTCGGTAAGCCTGCAATAACTAATATGAATATATAATTCATATCTATGCATAAACAACACGCACACATTCGTTCTCGAAGTTAATTATTTTTATTGCACAAAATCATTTTATTCCTACTTAATAATAATTATGAATATGTGCGTAGTTTAATGAAGTGAAATTCATCAACTTAAGTATCAAAGGGAGTTCATTTTCAATGGTTTTAGACCCAACTCTCAACGGTGAAAATATGCGATTCTGACTAGCATTTTTTATCGTATTCGTATTTGCTCATTTTTTATCCATTTGTCGTGAAGAAGATATCATTCAACAGCTAAAAGCATGATCTTTCCGAATGTGAAAAAATCTCGTTCATACGCAGAGTAATTCAGATACAATAGCGCGCTGAAGTTCGATTACCTTTTTTTTTATACACCCTGTAGTGACCTAGTGCATACATGTAAGTGTTGATTCCGTTCTTCCTTATCACTTTGGTTCTTTACACACAGTTGCTTTCAGGTAATCATTGAGAAAATGCTTTGGGTAATCGTTTCCCTTCAAATATATAGTACATCAGTACTGTGTTCTTATTCATTGTTATCAGAAAGTTCATCTTTTGTAACTTAGGGCGAGACCCTATCTCTTTTTTTTTCTATCGTTATTATACTGTATATACCAAATGTCAATTTTGTACCTTGTTATCAGAAAGTTCGTCTTTTTTAACTCTAGCGCGAAATTCTATTTCTGCTTTACGACTCATTAGGTATTCATCTTCCTCCTACAAACAAAGCAAAATTAATGAAGGTGTGATGCATGTAGTCTCGTAAAAATAACAAATTTATTTATGTCCATGAGACGTACAGTATGTAGCACTAAATAGAAAGAATAACTATCATGTTATAATTACATTCGGTGAAGGTAGCTTAGGTCCAATGGCATGACTATCTTCATCATCTTCACTGTCAGAACTGCTTTTCCTGTCTTGACAAAAAAACAATTTATAGAGGAAATATGTTGCTAGAACAGTGTAAATATATTGCTTACTGTAAGATTCCTGCATAGAACAAGAACATGCTGGTGAACTTCAATAAATTTTGATTTACAAAGTGGAAGTTTGAGAAAGACAAATACAAAAATACAAGCAAACAGATTTTAGTTGCATCAAATGAGATTTTAATGAGATTCTTTTGTTTAAACACCCTGCATGTGCACTGAACTGGAGCCTTCAGGAAGCCAGCTATTAGATTTACTACTGTGCTGCACCAATGCACTTCATTGGAAATGCTCCCTACTCTGGACCAAACCCTACCATAGTCATTCATGGTATTGGTTGTTGTAGCTAGTTTTTGGTTTTTACAATTTGTCTGGTGTTAGACAGGGTAAAATAATACAGTTGTAGGGCACATTAGGGTATGCATACTTTGCAACTTAACGCCAGGTTAAAATTTCACCACTTATAGATGTTAGAGCATACAGTATGATTCAGTGTATAAAGGCATTTACATACATTATTTGAGGTTGGTAAAATTGGGGCACAATGATTGGCATAAATTCCAATCATTCCCCACCTAGCTATGCCCCATGTCCCACAAGGGTATGGGTGTAGAATTTATCAGCATGATGCATAAGGGTGTTTGAATGCCAGTTCAACATACATGAAAGCTGATCTACCTGTTGAATGGTTTTGTAGATGGAAATTATAGAATACAAACTAATTATTACATTTATTAGAACTAACCAGGAACCAAGGTCAGCGAGAGCCAACCACAGGCCCCAGGACAAATTGGTGAACACGCCCCCCCCATCCCTCTTGACTCTCACGCTGATGGCCACACCAAAGTCTATTTTTTAATCACAATCAACAAGGGAATTGCCAGCATGCATGTTACTGTACCAGCAGATGGATTCACTAAATGTGTTCAACACAGGTAAATATTTACCTCATTTCATCTCATAACTGATAAAGAGTTAAAGACGTGATTGTTTTTGCAGAAAAAAAACAAACGAAAAATCGTTTGTCTCACAATTGGTACATTTTATGATTGATCACGACGATCAGCGGATAGCGTGCAAATGGCGTATTTCATTCAGGATAAACATAAAGCGATGATAAACAATACAAACATTTACTGAGATTTCCACGCCTCTCTCAGCACTCCGGGTACTACCCACCACCACCCCCTGCCTCCCCTCTTGCCGGCCTTGCCAGGTACAGAAGTGAAAAATGCAACTATAGGTCTCTGGCAGGAATCAAACCTGCAGCAGGGCTTTCAGAATTATTCTGGGCAGGTGGCTTTGTTGATAAAATAGGCGGCTGCGTGGAAGACCTTTAACCAACTGAGCAACAGAGTCCGGTTGTCGAGCTCTAACCACAAGTCCATGTATATATACTAGGGTACTGCCATGTTCAGGTATGGGTAAATATCAAGATTTTGCTGGCATCTTACTTGATTGAATAATAGTTGGAGGGTTTTGCAGATGGAAATCATTCTATATATATTTATTATACATTTATTACACAGGTTACACACAGGTTTCATTCCTGTCAGGGACCAAAAGATGCATTTTTTGCAGTTGTTCCTGGTTAGGTCTATTAAATAAATATATATAGAATTTCCACTCGATAATTTCCATCTACAAAACCCTCCAACTATAATTATTCAATCGAGTGAGATGCCAACAAAATCTTGATATGTAGAAAAAACAATATTTATTCATTGTATTTCTGCATGTCTATCTCAGACTATCAGAGTAAACTGAGTAATGAGACTGACGTGATCATGTGGCAACATAAGAAAACACTGGCTGGTCTAATACAATTCTTTGTTCCTTTTAATTTTTGGTGAATAACTCTGTTCTTTGTCTTGTCTCAAAGAATTATCCCTACATAATTCTAACCTGTTTTATCTTCATGTAAACCTTGAGGTTTGGCTGGTCTGCAAGGTCCGATAATGGCTGATGATTTTTGTTTAAAACCTGGTGGTAATGCTGGACCATATAATCCACCGCCATCCTTGTCTACATCGTCCAGTTCAGTAACAACATCTACTTTATTATTACGAGTACTTTCTGCTGGACCACATAATCCACCGCTATCCTCGTCTTCATTCAAACTGTTTAGTTCCTTGCGAGTATTTCTTGGTGGTAATGCTGGGCCATAAATACCCACATCACCTTCGTTCTGCTTGTTAGGGACAACTGCTAGTTTCTTCTTACTTGTTTCAGAACATTCGCTAGGATCATGAGAAATAAGGAAATGTTTTGGAAGTTCTCCAATCTCCATTTTGTTTATGAGCCTTCAGTACCGGTCAGAGGTTGTTCATCAGCAAAACATCACCATCTAGCGCGTGTCGAAAGTTTTCAAAATAGAAAATCGCAACATTCAAAATAAATCAAAATAAAAGTTTAATGTTAAAATTGGTAAGTGTTTTTTAAGTTTTTCTAACGCTTGCTTGGTGCTGTATAGGTGGATTTAACCAGATGGGAGTGACAATGTGTCTATAGTACATGATGCTCATATGCTGAACTGTTTTCAGTATTTTGAAGGTTTATAATTTATGATTATTAATTATTTTTGTTTGTGTTGGTGTTTAACACCAGTCAATGTAAATCCCCCCCCAACCGGGGAGGGGTCGGGGATTTAGCGGGGAAAGTGGTCAGTTTTGATTGTAAATATGTCCCCGATGATGGGGGACTTGGACGACATTTTCTCTTTTGGGCCATTCCATTTAATATACACGCCCCCCCCCCCTATGGACGAGAATTTCTGAGGGGGTTTGAAAAAACCGTTTCGGAGGGGTTGTGTGCATCGGCATCCTTTGATCTTTGCGTTTTTTTCTGAGCGGTCCGGCAAAAATTTCTTAATATCGGGGGG